CCCCAAAACCCCAAAACCCCAAAACCCCAAAACCCCTTATTTCCCAAAATAAATTGTCAATATTTATTATACAATCAGCAATGGGATGCGGAACGTCCAATAGTGGAGACGAAAGGACTAAAGTCCAAAGGAACATCCAGACTCTCAACCAAGCAAGGTAAGCTTTGGATCACCAGTGGTTTAGGCAGAATCCATCAGCAGGGAATATTAATCCAGATCCTCCCTCCAATGCTGAGAGGCAAAGAGAGCTGGATAATAACCCAAACTTCTTTTATAACGAGGACCTCTTCCTCCAACAAGCTGTGAGGCAAAGTTTGCTTGAGAACAACCCCAATCAAAGGCAACAAACAGAGGAAGAAGTATTCAATGATATAATCAAAGAGACCATAGTAGCTTCCAAGAAGGAATACGATGATATTGATAGGAAGAAGAATGAAGAGGAAATAGAGAAGATTAAAAATGACCCAACTGCACTAAATAACAAGATTAAGAACATTTTTGCAGCAAATAACGCCTTTAAGAACGCTAAGAAGTTACCTCCATTGGAGTTCTCAGGGAATAGTATGGGGTCTAAGTTAGAGAAGAAGGACTTGAAGTTAGTGAAAGCTCCCATATTGAAAGACTCCTCAGGACAACTTGAGTCAACTGGCCGAAAGGACGCCCGAGATTCATTGTTTGCCAACCAGCCAGCAGATACTAATAGTGAGATTGATATCAATGAGGATGATCATTTTAAGGGTGAAGTATCAAAGCCTTCGTATAATCCTAGTTTATTAAAAGATGAGAAGAACAAGAATAATAATCTTCAATCTCTTGAGAGCAATGAGTTCAAACCTTCTGAACTGAATCAGTATGCGGATGGAGGCTTTAATAAATCAAAAGGTAAGAATAATGAGCTGAATGCGCTAATCAATGAGCTAAAGGATGATGAGCCTGTGAAATATGTAAGGAAAATTGATGCCAGCAAACATCATAATGAGACAACCATGGATCATCCTAAGCCACATGAAAAACTTGTCTCAAATGATAGCTTCGAAGATCTGATGGATGAGTTCGACCCAATCGAGAATAATGACAAGCCACCTGGAATGGCAAAAGTCGAATTTATCAGCAAACCTACTGATGAAGATGGCTTTGGGTTTTAGTGAGAAAGCTAATAGTAACTAATAACACTTATTTCGCAAATCTCAATGTAGATTTTGAAAGTCTTCCAGAAGGCTTGGTGAATTTAGTATTTTAGATCACATTCAAGTTAATTTTTGGGAATGCTGTAATAGTACTAAGGTGATTAAATTAAAATTATCGGTCAAATGCTTCCAAATAAATCTTAAGCATCTTATTTTACATAAAAAGTTACACGAATCGTATTTTATTCACTTTTTGTGATGCTTATAAAACTCCAACTTTTAAAGCGTTCTTTTTCTAAAATTAGGGACCAATTGTGCTATAATACTGAATTTGGAATCTAAGCAAGAAGCTTTTGTTAATTAGCCTAAAAAGTTTCTCAATGCGTTATAAGTAAGTTTCTTGAGAAAATAATCCAGAAATATTCCGATTATCTATAATGTGTCTGTTATCTACATTTTTACCAAATTCATTGAAATCACTGCTTAGCATAAACTGAGCTCCATAGGTTTCATCCACCGCTATTTCAAGATTCCATTGAATGCCTAAATCAGGTACTCTATCCAACTTTCTTGCCTCATCATTCAAAACACAATGCAAAACATAAATAAATTAAGCTATAGAAAAGATATAAAATTCTGGTCTAAGTAAACAGTATTTTAGGAAAATTCTTCTGAAGGTTTAGAGGAATCTAGCTTGAGTTTTAGACCAGGATGAGATATAGGAAAATTTTAGTGTGAAGAAGAAGCGTGAATGGATGTCTGAGGGACTGAGGTGTGCTGTAGAGAAGAATGGAAGGGATTGGGATGGGCTTTGGTAAATTTAAGACATTTTGGAGAATTGTGAAGAGATAAGTGGAAGTGTTATGGATCAAGCTCTACCGTTACAGTTTTCAATTAAGGGTAATAATTAAGGGGTTTTGGGGTTTTGGGGTTTTGGGGTTTTGGGGTTTTGGGGTTTTGGGG